TTCACTCTCAATAGCCCTCTTTTTCTCTTCCAACTCAGCTATCAGGTTCTCTTTGAGTTCTATCTTCTTAGCCTGGATGACATGATGAAATTACAATGTAAAATAAATTATGACACACAAAATAATCATTCAGAAATTACAAGGGTATGTTTCACAGTCAGCTGGCATACATGTTTTGTGTTTGCAGTAGCTGTGCAAATATTTGAGTTCAGTGACAGGATACTCTTTCTGTCGCTATAGCACTTCTGTGGCCAATATAAAGACAAGAAAGAGTTCAAAAGAGACATCAATAATCTTGAACTTGTCAATATCAATAATGAGTGCCGATATTTTCATAGAAAGTTAAAACAATGTATTATACATCCATAGCTTCATTTGAGTATGTTCCAAGTTCATATCCCATGTACATGTGATTAAAGTCAAATCAAGGGGTAAGGTAAAAGTCATATTTCAGACAAATCACTTGTTGCTGTTTTGGCCTGCAATGCATTAAGATTTTCTGACAGGTACCATGGTGCCTGTGATTATCCATAATCCTTCCTCTTTTTTACTTACATGTATTGCCATCTGTGGATATGCATAATGAATTATGAAAAAGTACATTTATTTTATAATGTTTTTCTCCTCTTTTTTTTCCCCACATTGCTGAATATTTTTTTGTTTTTTGTCCATAGTTTTTTTTTGTCAACAGTTTATAACCATACTATATAATTCTCAGGTTGTGTCTTTAAACAGGGGATGAGAGAGAGTATTATGTTGCTAATTGTATTTTCTGAAGATTTACAGCATTTTTAACATCGACAGATTTTAAAGTAAATTTGACATTCTGATCACAAATTGCAAAATGTACTTTTGAAATACAAATACATAGACTCTCTAGGAATTCAATAGAATCCAAAATGGTAAGCAGGTAAATAGTTTTACAGAATCAACATCCAATTCAATGCTATACATTCTTTAATTCTGGTACTATATGGTAAAAACCATTAATATTTCCAATAATGTAGGGATCAACCAATTGTTCAGAAGTCCCAAACAACCATTCGGGTCATGGCAACCAAGTATGAAAACTGTTTGCTAACTGAAAAAATCATAAAAATAAATACAGCAATCACATTACCGGTATTATTTGGTTTTATGTATATTTTTTTTATAGAATTTATATTTTTTTCAAATTTTTAAATGTATTTTAAAGGTATTTCTTTTTAGTTTCGGTCTCGAACATGTGTACATATTACTTTGAAGTACACAAATGTACAACCTGTCTTACCTCAAATTCTTTAATACAAGCCTTCTTTTCCTTGATGTACTCACGCTCAACAAATTCTAACTGTAAAATGAAAGTAACGATATGCATTAACAAATCACAGTATGAATTGGAGTACTCAAAATCTCACCAAAACAAAACACAAGTTTTGCCGTTATTGCGCCTATTTGGAGATGTACTTCTAAAAGAATACCACTGGATATAAAATCAAAGGGGTGAGAACATTTGAATTGTATTTTTATTGTATTTAGAACAGTGTTAATCTGTGTGCCCATAACTGATTTGTAGGAATGCCAAGTCAAAAAAGCTTGACTGCTGGCGAGGTAGAACTTGAAGAAAAAAATAAAATTGTATGGTATTGTATTGGTGACTTGAGGCACAAAAAACAATGAACCCAATTTCCTTCATATTTGCACCTATTTTGTTTACGTGATGGGAATTTCATTTTAGCAAATTACAAATCATATAACTTAATTAAAATTTCAAGATCACTATATCAATGTACGTTTTTTTGAATTAGGACTTGGTGCATAAGTGGAGTGTCATATCGGCTTGGTGGGCATACTGGTGATAACACTGGGAGAGTTCAGGAATAACAGCTTACCTCATACATCTTGGAAGCCTCAGCAACTCTAATTCTATCTTTGTAGTTCTGCTCTAATTTCTTTAGTTTTTTATTCAATTCAGAATGGCTGCCATCTTGTAGGTTTTGCAGCTGTTTCTTTAACTGTGCCAATTTTTCTTGATACATACTGAAATGACACAATTAAGAATGCAGAAAACTGTCATAGAGGTAAAGTTTCATTTGTATGAATACTTATATAAATTGTGCATGTTATACATTTAGGCGAGGGTTCCCGAACCCGCCTATTCACATAGTTCATACCCACCATAGACTCCAGTCAGTCAAACTGTAGGCATTAATCAGCGATTCTGCCGGTGACGGAGAGATAGAATCTAGGTCAGGGGAAGCCCCATGACCCCATGATTCTCTTTCCCTTACGTCACGAACCATGTGACCGAGGCCATATAGCAGCGCCACAGACGGCTGTACAAATCACTCTGGTTCCTTTCTCTCCGCATCGAGGACTTAGACCAATCTGCTATCAAACCTGTGCCATCACATTACCACATGTCTTATTGCCCATCGTCAGATAAATTGTTTGTGTGATTATTTTACTTTTTCATTGAATTTTACATCTTAAAAGTCATTTTGTTACATACTTTATACGTTATCAGTTAAACCTTTTTAAATACAGCCCTGGAGGCTGTTTTGCTCTAAGTTTCTGAGCAGATATTCACAGTATAAAACATTTTTTTCACATGATACAGAAGTTTTTGTAATTTTGTTTGCTGAAATATTTAACAAGAATGAATTGAAAGTACTTTCTTGTTATTGAATTCATGTACAAGGCATGTATCCAGACGTCACTGGATCGATTTAATTCATGGACTAGTAATGCTTACGTTTCTTTCATAACTGTGAATTCTTCTTCTAACTTAGCAACGTCTGTCTCACTTGCATCTTCAGTGTCTAAAGAAGATATAACCAAAATGTATATAATGTGTGTAAACTGCAGGTTATCATGATATTTGATAAATAATTACTGTAGTATTAAAACAAAACTATCATAGTTCACAGTGAGAATTTTTTGCTTGACATATGCAGATTCAATGGTTTACATGCTATTTCAAGTTTGAGTTAGAAGTTTCTTTTGAATTGAGTTTGTCATTATTTGTAAATAAATGCTTTTGAAATTGACTCACATATACATGTATATTCATGTTTTCCTGAGCAAATGATCTCCAAACGAGTAAACAGGTGTATGTACCTTAACATGCATTTACACTTAAAATTTACTGGGCATTGTTGAATTTAAAATATATAATTTATAGTAATATAGTTGAAATATAAACATGTCAGGAATATGATTATGATTTTTTTAACATTAAAATGATTGACATCTTGTATCTGATTGTCAAACGAGTACTTGTCCATATTGAGAGATATTGCTCTGAAACAGCATTAATTAACAAAACAAAATCGGTCATATAGAATACATCTATATATCTATAACATAATGTATAATGAATATATAAAAATTTTAACATAATCAGTCTAAGCATGTCAGAGATATGGCTTTAGAAGCACATTCATTTGCTTTATACCCATATGAAGAAACTAATGAGATTTTCTCAAACATCAACAAACTACATTTCTTTAACTGAATTTGAAATACATTTTAGTAAATGAGTACATAAAAATGTGCTATTTGGGTAATTTAATGCAATATATATACATATTAATATCAGTCACTGACATAATTGTGGATGTTCAAAAAAACATTTTAGAAAATGTTTAAGCCCTGTATATTACTGTACATCTGCTTTGTATACTAGTAATGGTATTTACACAGCTTTGAATAACATAATAAATACTGGTCAAATTCCCGTTTTATTTTTTTTTTACTGGCATATTTAAAATATTTACACTTTACTTTTAGGGAAAAAATGCTATGCATATTAAGCAACATTTTAATAATAAGAAATAAGTGATTATCTTATTTTCAGTGTGTTGCTAGTCCTGGGTCGGTAGTTTGTGTAAGGGGGCTGGTTTTGTTTGTTTGTGTAAGTTTGGTTGGTGCATAGAATGCTCCATTGGTTAGTGTTTATGTAAATAAAATAATAAATGAACTGGCTGTGTGACAAATGTCCAACTATAACTTTAGTTGTTTTGCATGACATAATCATGGCGTGGGTTTAAAGATTTTCGGCATGACATTGGCGGTGATTCTGTGTATACAACGCCGCATTACCACAAATTCAGGGTCAGTTTACAAACAGAATACTCATACGACTATGACGGGCCAACGTGTTGGAATCGTCGGACCCGACACTGTCTGCATACCTTCATCAGACGATCTGCCACTGAGATAACTACATTCCTCCTCTTCGTCTGAAATATCTTCATTGAAATTACTTGCTCTTCCCGGTGAATAATACGGCGAAGAAGCCATCCTTGCACAAATAGTTTCAGATTTTCTGCCCAGCGAAGTGACAACAAAGATGTGACATTGGCATCCCTAGGTTTATATATTTTTGTTTTTTTCCCATTGAAACTATCAATGTTGTCACTGTTGAGTAATTAGTGTTTGAGAATTGGTGAAAATAAAGATTAAATAGTTTTATATTTTTTTCTAATTGCCAGTCGTATATAAATCTAAACACTGGTAATATGAATCAGTATTGTAAATTAGGTTAAAATACAGTACGTTGGGTAGTCTTGCAAGAGGTCACTCGTTACTGAACTCTATTGCTTACTTCCGGTTACTGTTTTCCCGGCTTGCATTTTGATCACAAATTCCACGCATGCGTATAAATCTGACGTGGCAAAATGGCTTTCCAGTCGTTCCAGCAGGAGTACATGCAAACTCCTCCGATTACCCGAGCATATACAACAGCATGTGTACTAACTACACTTTCAGTCGTAAGTATTCTTGCAGCTGGTTTTTTAGGTAACATGGTGGATTTTCATAACAGTCTATATTCTGGTGACCCGCAAAACCGGAAATCATAGTGTCGAGTGAGTGCAGTAAGTTAGTTTGTAAACACCAGCATACTGCCATAAGGTTTGCTGAATGCAGCGGTCTTATATTTTAGCATTTTATGGTGTAGATGCTGACTCACTCGTAAGATTATAATTTATCTACTTTAAACACCTATTGCAAAAAAACATTAGTTTTTTTTTTCAAACATTTTTTGGTACCTAAAGTGTTCAACTCAAACCATGGAGGTAGACGGGTCTTTTCTACCTCCATGCTCAAACTGAGTGATTGGAAATTGGGAGAGGGTAATAATTATGGATGTGGTCAATTTAATTGCCACGAAGCTGTGTGCCAGACTGGAGGTATTTATGGGGGTCTAAAAACTAACTCTGCGTTGCGATTGTGCGACTCGCCGAATGTCGATTATTGCACTCTGCATCTGGATCGTAGTGTCACTCTGCGAAGAGCACGATTCCCATTGGTTGGTTGGTCGAAAAGCGGGAATCTCAATGGTCGATCGATTCACCTCCATGATCGATATAAGGGTACACCGCATGCGTTATAGAAATGTTCAGTTTTAAATGGTTATTTCGCAGACTGCTCGGAGAACTACAGTAAACAAGTATTTACCGACGACATGCCGCACGGTTCGGTAATCAGCAAGTATTTACCATTGATTTATTAACATATATAACATCCTTCGGAGGGGATGAAAGGGGTTACAAAACATGTGCACATTGGTGTTGGGTGCCTTATTACGGTGTAACATCAAGGAGCTGGTAACATTAACAAACGCCATCTTGAAGTTGTAAGGCTTTGTCCGCAACTATGCTCATTAGCATAGGCGTCAAAGCGAGTAGAGTGCGAAGTACGTTTCACACGATGTTACATTCTTTTTTGTCATTAGCAAGTATAATTTGTTATGACTATATTCATCACTTTGAACTCCCAAATAAAGCGTGTAACGGGTCAAACTGTTTCTAGGCAATCAATATCGTTTTATTAAGAATATTAAGAGAGGAAAAACGTAAAGCTGTGTGAATGGATTTAATTAAACTACTGCTGAAGATAGAAATCTAAAACGGCAGTGTCAACAGAAAATTAGATGGGTTCACGCTCTCTGCATAAACGGAAACGATTGCTTTGTTTATTTGGCCGATGTCGACGAGCAACAGATTTCCTGCACTCACTTCCTCGTCTGATCACCGGCCCTTAACTGTCTCGCGTATCGGTGTCATCATCGATTAAGTAATTGAAACTCTTTCGCGTTGATGCGAATATTTCAGCCTATTCATCCCTTTCGAACCACTCGCGAGGATGGTCATAATATGACCTAGACGAGCTTGCAATCTGTTGCGATTCTGATGAAAAATTCTTGAAAAATCAATATAAATTGCGTAAACGAGGGGTGAACGCGAAAGTCCTGTAATTTTTCATCAGAATCACAACAGGCTGGGGGCAAGTCTAAATTAGTAAATATGCCGGGTGAATATGACCCTGAGTTGCAGATTTGTCTTTGCTTCGTTTGTCATTGGCGTCTTTGCTTTCTTTCTTTTTATCGCCATTGCGTTAGTAAGATGGTGTTATTAAAATAGAATTATAGACTTAGAAAATAAAACGATTTCTCAGACGAAGTCTTGACTGATAATAATGCTGACAATGGACGTTAGATTGATATGCACTGTTTGCGACAGGAAGCTTGTCACCCGTTTTATCAGAATCGTCAACAACAGAGTATTACCGGTAGAATACATATACATGTTATAAACATTATGCAAATATTAACGAAACGGTAGTAGTGTTAGCGTTTGAGCACTAGTCTTTCCTAAATTTCGAAAAGCTTGGTAGATGAATCAAGGTACAAATTAACCGTTTTATCAATTATTGAAAAATCAAGAAAAAAAGAAAATTTCCCTTCCTGCTACATTAAGATTCAATATGGACGACCAAAATTTGGCTTTCATTTAAAAAAATAAACCACAATTTTCAGTAATACTGACTTTGAAAATTATGATACAAAAATAATTACATTCATACCACAAACCAACGCTGTTTTTCTTTACTTTTCACAACTGTTACAAAGTATTTCATTTCTGGTGGTTAAAATACCAGCTGATCGATCGTAGACCACAAGTTTGCAGTCCGTTTATGATCTAAACGAAGGCAGACGATTGCAAACAACTGCTGTCACAGCAAAACGATGCACATGGTGAATGATTTTTTTTCACTGCATGCAAATTATTTTCCTTGGTGCACAAGTCAAAGCAGACGTACAACATTCGTTGCAGAACTCGTGAAAAGTACTGCGCGTTCCACTCGCTTTGAAGCTGCCGCCTATGCTAATGAGCATAGTCGTCCGGACGAAGCCTTACAACTCCAAGATGGCGATAACGTTACACCGTAAATAGGCAGTCAAAACCAACGTGCATGTTACACTATTCAACTTTTCTAGCCAGCGGTGTGATGTGTCTAATCACCGTAAACCATGTGTCATTTCTTTGTTCCCACAATTTGTCTTCCATGTGCTTGTCGATCACCGAACAGTGCGGCATGTCGCCGGTACATAGTGTTCACACACTTTTTTTACCGTACCATTTTTACCATTTAAAACTTAACTTTTATAAGGCATGCGGTGAAAATCGACCATTAGGATTCGCGCTGTTCGACCAACCAATCAACCAACCAATAGGAATCGTGCTCTTCGCAGAGTGCAATAATCGACATTCGGCGAGTCGCACAATCGCGTCGCAGAGTTAGTTTTTAGAACCCCATACATACATGGCCGGACTATACCATATCCATAATTTTTGCTGACACTCGTTAAGTACTAGTAACACCTATCGGTTTTCTCGCATTTGCTGATTTTAACTGCTCGGTCGTAATTATCTCAATAACTGTGAATTTTGTTACCTTAAAATTTCATTAATGAACAACAACTTCATGTAAGTGTCAAAAAAGCAAAAGGGTTCTATTTTGATCAATATTCAAGTTCATTCTTATTGATAATGTTGTCATATAACATTCCAGTCAACTTTGCGTGATCAATCATGGTTAAAAAGTAAATACGCTCCTGGATACTTCTTGGAACCGATTCGGCTCATGCCAAATTCTCGCTATCATTCGTCTATCTGTTATTTGACCCAAATATGGAAAACGACTTGCATATGATAATAATAATTACTATATTGAAATCATATCAATTTGCTGTTATGGTATTTATTACATTACTACAGCATCCGACCATATATACCTGGACTTCCCTCCATCGTCATGTCCTACTAGAATGAATCAGTATATGTTCTCTTAAACTCACCACTGAGGGCGTGATTTCAGTTCGTGCTGAGTGTTCAGGCAGCAAATCTTGGAACACAACAAGTTTCGGCCCCAAGCATCTATTGAGATCAAGTTTTTTTTGGTACATGCAGACTTGGCCTCAACGTTTACACGCGTGTTTCAACATGTGCCAACTCTGCCCTGAGTCTCTGCACATTGCCAAGATCTCTAACATTAATGTCACTACTTTCCAGTAAATGGGTTATTATATTAGCCTCTTCCATTTTATTACTGTAATCATGAATAATAGTGTTATTCAAGCAACACATGTGGCCCTAATGTATGTGTTCAGTGGTGAACTATTTTAATCTCCAAAGTCCAGTTTTTATCTTCTGATTTATTGGTATAATTGTTACACACCTGCCCACACCTGCTTTTCTTCCTGTTTGTACGTATTCATTTGTAGTTTTGTTGATATTATTTGAATAATGTTGCCCAATAACTACTGTGGAATACTTTATTTTCGCTGGATTTAATTTTCGCTGAAAAGGCTTTTTAGGCATTTTGTATGGAATTTATTTTCACTGATTTTTGATGAGTTTAATGTGAAATATAGGAAAAAAAGTATATTCGCTGGATTTTATTTTCACGGAATCATCCCTTCAGCGAAAATATTCTACAGTAGTATTTTAGGACACCAATAAAAAAAATTGTTGGGGGGGTTTACAGTTGTATTGGTGTTCAATAATATTTTGCTACAATTCACTAATATAAATCCATGTGAATAATGACAATAAAACTCTTGGTTCCCCGCTAAATTTGTGAACTTAAAACCTATTGAAATTGCTCAAATCATCAAAATAGTGAAATTGAATGCCAATAAAAATAAATGTTTTTATAGTACCCTCATTGGAATCTGTGAGCTTGACAACAAGTTTGTTGGATCGATGGATGGTTGGTTCAATCATATTCTTTGTCATATAACTAATAATGGTTGTATTTTGCATTACAGCAACTAGATGTTATAACTCCATTCCAATTGTATTTCAATCCAGATCTTATATTCACAAAATACCAGGTATGTACTACCAGTCTTTTACACGCAACTGATTTCTTCACAAACCTCATGCCTATTCGTACATTAAGAATTTAGGCTAGAGTTATTTGTGTGCTGGTGAAAATGTCTATAAATATTTGAATCATTGATTTGTAATTTGTTGAGTAATGTGAGACGTGGTACTACAATCAACTTTCTCACAACACTGAAATATAAACTCTCAAACAATGCTGCATGCAAATGTTAAAGATGAACATACAATCTACAAGAACTCAAAACCCAAACATTTTTCATTTCAAAAAAGCACGATTTATTTAAAATCTTGATTGACACTTACAATGTACCTCTTATTCTAATGCTTTTTTGTTGCTTTTTTGCAGTTATGGAGGCTGGTGACAAATTTCTTATTTTTTGGGACGATTGGTTTTAATTTTCTATTTAACATGATATTTACATATAGATACTGCCGAATGCTGGAAGAAGGATCTTTTCGAGGACGAACCAGTGATTTTTTTTTCATGTTTCTTTTTGGTGGAATAGTTATGACAGTATCCTTTTCATGATTACCAAGAACTAAATACAAAACTTTCATAAACTAAAGCCTAAGAAAGTGTTTATTTCTTTGTACAGTCTTTTAACCTCCTGTTGTTTTTTGTGTTAATACATTGGCCGTATTTGTATCATCATATCTGTACTTGGGGCACATGTTCATTATGAATCTATTGCTTGATACTGAGACTATTGCAAAAACCACTAAACTGTTTTTTTTCAGCTGTTTAGTCATCCCAATGTGCAACTGCAAGGCCTGGTTAATCAGTTGGCCATCATGAAACTCATCACTAGCTGTCATCAAACTTTTCAAACCCAAAGTAAATACGCAAACCATGCCCTCATGTCACTAAAAATATGCTCTCTGACCTTACATCACCTGAAAACCGAACCAATCAGTGTGAATAATAAGACTCGTATTAATGTTAACATTAGGAGGAAACCAAAACATTGTTTTGTTGATGCTAAGCAGGTTAAACAGACGCTGCATACTTAGATTGTCTTTCCAATAGTTTCCCATACTTCACCTATCAAACTGTGTTCCTGCTTCATATGCTTCTGCCATCGAACTGCCCCTTTCTTGTGTGGCCTTTGTCTTTTGCTCATACTGCTTTTATCCCTGTGCCATGTTGCCGCTCAATACTAACCTGGCTCAAGATAATTCAACTGCTTGCTAATTTTTTCTTAACGATTTATACAGATAATTGCTTTATTTGTAAACTTAGTGTTTTTAGGTCAGGCATTTACGCTGATGCTAGTGTACATCTGGAGTCGTCGTAATCCTTACGTACGATTGAACTTTTTTGGGTTAATGAACTTCCAAGCTCCCTACTTGCCATGGGTGTTGTTAGCATTCTCACTGTTGCTTGGCAACTCAGTCATTGTTGATATCATGGGTAAGTTGGCACTATACTCAAATATGTGTTTTTCAATAAAGATTTTCTCAAAGGTGATTAGGGATTCTGTCTGTGATTGAGCTGTAATAAGAATTTCAAGTTCAAAATTAAATTATTCAATTTTTGCAGTGGTCATTCAGTCTGTACCTTTCATTCAATACACAAAACTCACAGTGAACAGAAAATTACTTATTTACTGCTCTGTTTCATTTGGATTGATAGGGTGATTGTATTTCCTCACTGTCACTGTTTTTTTGTTTGTTTTTCCAGGTATAGCTGTGGGTCATGTTTATTACTTCTTGGAAGACGTGTTTCCTCAGCAGCCTGGAGGTTTCAAACTTTTAAAGACACCAGGTTTTCTGTAAGTAACTGATATCAATATGTGAATATTAAATTGTTTTACATTACCAGTATATCAAGTTTTCTTGGATATTCACATTTGACATACATGTATTGTCTGCTGATGCGTTTTTTCGCATTCGTTTCACTTATCCGTGGCGGCTTTTTGCAGGCAATGTTTTAGGGAAGTTCAGGCCGAATTAAAAATTATGTCATCTTCTTGGTAATATCATTATTATGCCTTTAGCATACTGAAAATAAAAAAAAAATAAAGATCACTGGAAATGTTGAAGAAGCAGTAAAAAAAAAATGGTGAAAATTATTTCTTTATATCCCAAAATTTTGCTTTGGACATGAGAATAAAAAGTTGTATATTATCAATGTTATAAAGTAGTGCTGACAATTAATATGCCCCTCCTCATCTTACTCTCAATTAGTGGTAATCTGAAGTAGAGCACGCTAGTAGCACCATACACCTACTTGTCAAGTTGAGTTTATTAATATAGTATTTACATTCACTAACAATCAATATTTCATGTTGCCATGGCAATATCTGTATCAATACCATCTAATTAATGACTGCTGTATTATTTGATTCACAGTAAATCTATTTTTGATGGCCCCACAGTGGATCCTAATTATGAACCTTTACCAGAAGAAGACAGACCTGGTGGTTTTCGGTGGGGGCAGGGTGAACCACTCGGTGACCAGCAGCCACCAGCAGAGGATAATCAATGATACTTAGACTATATGCGACAGCATTGTCTTCAGCTATCATGTCATCTTTCTACATATTATATTTTTCAGTCTTACACTATTTAATTTTGCTATTGTGATCTTATGAGCTGTTCTCCAAGAACTGTTTTTTTTTTTCTTTCAAATATTCAGTTTTACCAACCACCTCAACCTATGGTGATTTTGCAGAATTGTATTTGCCCTCATCTTCATGTGTTTTACCCTACAGTTAACCCAACACACTGGAGAAAACAAGCGTTTACTTTGAAGCATTGTTATTTCAACATCTAGTGTGCATTTTCCAAGAGACCATGATTTACAAATTGAATTTGACCAATAACATAGAAAATATGTTTAGACATCCATAAATCTACCCCATAATTATAAGTTTTGTGCAGCTGAATGAATTCATTCACAAAAGTGGGTGGAAAACAATTGGACCTGCTATAACAGCAGGTGATGGCAGTTGAATCAAAGCAGAATTTTGATACATTGAAAAAACCTTTCAACAAACAAGCTGCTCTCTGATTGGTCTGACAGTCAGGTGTGAGGGCTGAGTAGCCAATCAGGCTGAATTTTTTAAGTGGCTTTGTATTAACAGAATGGCAGAAAAAAGAGTTGATCAACTGGCCATGAGAGAAAATGCTGAACAGTTGAGAGTTAATTTTGCTAATTTTTTTTTTTTTTACTTATTTTGTTCAGAACACTATAAAAGCATATTTATTTTGATGTAATAGAGACAAGTTTCTTCTTGAAATATATTGCCTTTTTCTGTGATTACAGAATGTTGTTTTTGTGTTGGTGAATTTATTATGACTTCAACTTGTGCAATCTTGAAAGAAAATGGTAAGTAAGTGATATTATTGAAAATGTAGCTTTGACATCAATTCACTCCAGTTAGTCCCTGTTTCAGACGCTTCTAGTCTGTGACATCTCTAACATTTTCTCAGAATTTCTGCAGCAGATATCAATAAAACTTGGCAGTTTGATAAACAAGTCTCTGCTGAATATGCATGTAATTTGTTTTTCCAGATCTTAAAAGTGGGTCTTTTTCATCCAAAACTCCTAACACCAGTGAGAGTACAACTGAGCATGCTCAGAATAAATAATTAGCTTAGAATGTAAAGCTAGGGTTTTTAGTGATGTCATGACCTTGATCTGAATCATTGACAGATGGGTCGTATCATTACCAATCTCAGTGGAAACTGTAGAGGGGTGTAAGAGCTACTTTTTGATGGGAGTTATATTGGTGATAATGAAACAAACCCCCAGGTCCTGGTAATATACAAAGACCTGAATTAACAAAGAAGTAAAGTTATTAAAGGTACATCAAGGTTTACTCAGATTTATGAATGCAGTTTCTTGAGCATGTACGAGACATAGTTTGGTTGCACTTGTCTACTCTGAAATTTTGGACCTGGGTCAATGAAAGTTTTCACTCATCAGATTAAGGTAAATCACTTTACGAGTTGTACCTACATAGAGTACATACATGTATTAATTCAATTGTTTGCAGATGTTCCATGTCTTATTTAATTGTTATATTATGAGCAAGTACTGTAATGAAAGATGACCGAGACTGAGAGTGAGGTTAGGTGAAATGTATTGTAATAGAAAATTACAAAGTGAGTTTATATAAAATGTACTGAAACGAAAAGTTACCAAGTGCCGAGATTAAATCTACTGTAATGACCAAGTGATAAGGTTAGGTGTAATGTGATATACTGTAATGAAAGATGACCAAGTGAAATGTACTGTAATATGGTCAAGTGACTAGGTAATATGAAATGTAATGCAATATGAGAAAAAGGTGAGGTTAGATGAAATGTACTGCAATGAAAGACAATCAAGTAATAAGGTTAGGTGAAATGTAATGTAATATACTATAATGAAAGGTGAGGGGAGCTGAGGTGAAATGAAATGTATAATGAATCGTGATGAGGTGAGGTGAAATGTACTATAATGAAGCATGACCAAGTGATGAGATGAGGTGAAATGTACTATAATGAATCATGACCAAGTGATGAGGTGAGGTGAAATGTAATATCATGACCAAGTGATGAGGTGAGGTGAGGTGAAATGTACTATAATGAATCATGACAAAGTGATGAGATGAGTGAAATGTACTATAATGAATCGTGATGAGGTGAGGTAAAATGTACTGTAGTGAAAGGTTACCGAGTGATGAGGTGAGGTGAAATGTGCTATAATGTATGGTGACGAGATGAGATGAAATGCACTATGGTGAAAGGTGACCAAGTGATGTGATGAGGTGAGGTGAAATGTATTATAATGAAAGGTGACCAAGTGATGAGGTGAGATGAAATGTGCTATAATGTAAGGTGATGAGGTGAGATGAAATGCACTATGGCGAAAGGTGACCAAGTGATGAGGTGAGGTGAAATGTACTATAATGAAAGGTGACCAAGTGATGAGGTGAGATGAAATGTGCTATAATGTAAGGTGACCAAGTGACTAGGTGAGATGAAATGCACTATAGTGAAAGGTTACCAAGTGATGAGGTGAGGTGAAATGTACTATAATGAAAGGTGATTAGGTGAAGTGAAATGTACTATAATGATCGTGATGAGATGAGGTGAAATGTACTATAATGAAAGGTGACCAAGTGATGAGGTGAGGTGAAATGTACTATAATGAATCTGACCAGTTGATGAGGCGAGGTGAAATGTACTAAAATGAATCGTGACCAAGTGATTAGGTGAAATGTACTATAATGAATTGTGATCAAATGACGAGGTGAGATAAAATGCACTATAATGAAAGGTGACCAAGTGATGAGGCGAGATGAAATGTGCTATAATGTAAGGTGACCAAGTGACGAGGTGAGATGAAATGCACTATAGTGAAAGGTTACCAAGTGATGAGGTGAGGTGAAATGTACTATAATGATAGTGATGAGATGAGGTGAGGTGAAATGTACTATAATGAAAGGTGACCAAGTGAGGTGAAATGTAATATACACATGTAATGAAAGGTGACCAAGTGGTGAGGTGAGGTGAAATGAAATGTACTATAATGAATCGTGACCAGTAGATGAGGCGAGGTGAAATGCACTATAGCGAAAGGCGACCAAGTGATGAGGTGAGATGAAATGCATTATAGCGAAAGGTGACCAAGTGATGAGGTGAGGTTAAATTTATTCGCTGATACACACCTAAAGCACGTTATTTGTACTCGTCCCCCAGTATTGCTATTTATTATTAGTATTGATATTTTATTAAACTATTGTGGGCAGTTATCCTTATATACAACGCGTTCACAAAAACAAAGAAATGATCTAATATTTCCTTTACAAATACATATATTGTGAAAAACTCCACCAAAAAAACGAATTTAATTTTTCTCTTAAAATCACACTGTAATGAACAGGGGTTATTATTAAACTGGAGATCTTCATTCTGGTGACGACGGATAAAGTACATGCATGTTCGTCTCCGAGTGTTAACAAACAACCTCGCCAAGAGACCAACATCAAGTGCCTCTTTAAGCCTTTAGTGTAGTAAGAAAACTAACCCTATGTATAAAATAAATCACGTCACCTTGGCACGGAGTGTCACATTGACTAAAATTGAAGGAGCTGACTCAGACGCTATTTCGACTCGTCGGTAGCACTGTACCATGCACAATAACCTATATTGAAATGCAATAATGAGTTTATATGTGGCCGTTTTTTTGGTGATGCCGTATCAGGCGATAATGTCTGCCATCTTACTGCGTAACTCTTTTCTCTTGTGACGACCATGCGGCAACCAGCATACAACATGTCGAAATGACAACACGGACAGAGGTCATTCCAGTAGTCATTTCAGTTAAAATTAACAAAAGCAGGGCATATATTATCACACTAAAATATATGCATGTAATTTATTTATGCATTTCAAAATTTGTAGTTAAAAATTCCAAACCATAATAAAATTGCAGGAAAATATGATGTAATCAGTACATCACTGATACTACTTAGAATGAATAGTTTACTCTGTATATAACGTAAAGATACAGATCATCTGATCACCTTGGAAACCAATCACGTCTCTATGCATACAACGTTTGCATCACTACCCAACGCTAGGCTGTGATATCATAACTCGGTACGCATCTATCAAATAGTAAGATAGTCATGTTTCACGGTGTTCTCCCGGAATCGTCTTTCAGGAAATGTTGGGCCATGCGCTTGTATAAACATCACATAGTTGAATTTCATTCAATTGTCATCATGTATGACATAAATATCACATAGTTGTATCTCAATTAATTGTCATCATATATGACATAAATATCACATAGTTGTATCTCATTTAATTGTCATCACATATGGCATAAATATCACATAGTTGTATCTCATTTAATTGTCATCATATATGGCATAAATATCACATAGTTGTATCTCATTGAATTGTCATCATATATGGCATAAATATAACATAGTTGTATCTCATTTAATTGTCATCATATATGGCATAAATATCACATAGTTGTATCTCATTTAATTGTCATTATATATAGCATAAATATCACATAGTTGTGTCTTATTTAATTGTCATCATATATGGCATAAATATCACATAGTTGTATCTCATTTAATTGTCATCATATATGACATAAATATCACATAGTTGTATCTCATTTAATTGTCATTATATATAGCATAAATATCACATAGTTGTATCTCATTTAATTGTCAACATATATGGCATAAATATCACATAGTTGTATCTCATTTAATTGTCATCATATATAACATAAATATCACATAGTTGTATCTCATTTAATTGTCATATAGGACATAATATCACATAGTTGTATCTCATTTAATTGTCATATATAACATCAATATCACATGGTTGTATCTCATTTAATTGTCATCATATATGGCATAAATATCACATAGTTGTATCTCATTTAATTGTCATCATATATAGCATTATATAGCATAAATATCACATAGTTGTATCTCATTCACTTGTCATATATAACATCAATATCACATGGTTGTATCTCATTTAATTGCCATATATAGCATAAATATCACATAGTTGTATCTCATTTAATTGTCATATATAACATCAATATCACATGGTTGTATCTCATTTAATTGCCATATATAGCATAAATATCACATAGTTGTATCTCATTTAATTGTCATCATATATAGCATAAATATCACATAGTTGTATCTCATTTAATTGTCATCATATATGCCATAAATATCACATAGTTGTATCTCATTTAATTGTCATATATGACATAAATATCACATAGTTGTATCTCATTTAATTGTCATCATATATAGCATAAATATCATATAGTTGTATCTCATTTAATTGTCATCATATATAGCATAAATATCACATAGTTGTATCTCATTTAATTGTCATCATATATGGCATAAATATCACATAGTTGTATCTCATTTAATTGTCATCATATATAGCATAAATATCATATAGTTGTTTCTCATTTAATTGTCGTCATATATAGCATCAATATCACATAGTTGTATCTCATTTAATTGTCATCATATATAGCATAAATATCACATAGTTGTATCTCATTTAATTGTCATTATATATAGCATAAATATCATATAGTTGTTTCTCATTTAATTGTCGTCATATATA